TAAATATTCGAATACATGTTGCCGTATTAAAGTCTCCTCTATAATAAACGATTTGACACGTCTGGAGACGCATGATGTATTGTTGCCCGCATCCCATTCCCTTCGTCCTGCTTCCCTGTATGTATAAAATGTCGAATTGTAACGTATTAAAAAGTATTGACATTTTGAATATGTCTGAATTCTGAATCTTTTTGATCCGAAGAAAAGGATTGAAAAGTATTAGTTCCCATTAAATTTTACTGCGCTAAATGCGAGACGGTCTCTTTCGCCCGGGTGCCTCACCAGGGAAATTTTTCTGGTACGCTAAATCCCGTAAGGCCATCAGTCTTTGTAGTATATCTACGAGGTCGGTGCATAAGGTTTATATTATCTGTACATACATATTTTGAAACATTTTCTTTGGATATTATATCAGACGGATTTTGCGCGCAATATCCTTCGGATCACAAAGACATTATTATTTTGATCATTTTGATTTGTTTGATATTCATTAAGAATCGCAACCGCCATGTTGAACGACTAAATTGTCGTGTGAAATGTTTCAATTTTCATAAATTCATATGAAATTTTTTCATTTTTCACTAATTCACAAAATTCACTTTCACTCTTCACTAGTTCACGCTAGGGAAAAGATTCATGATCGCTGCCTCGAGCAGCTGCAACGCTTTTCGAATCATTTATGTCGGCGCGCTTTTACTCTTCAGATTTCTGTCATTAATAACTCGATAATTATTGCGAATCTCGCATAATGGTATAGAACTTTTATGTTTGTCTCAATCTACCCTCTATCTACCCAATCTACCCTCACACTTCGTGTCGGCAGCTAATTACTGGACACTTCGTATGATCTTCATGATATTAATCATACACAATGTCAATTCTTTTTCTTTTTTGCACATGTTAACATGTTAATTCATGTTATAAATGCGTAACAATGTGCGAGACCGTGCTTGTCAAGTACGCTATTATGGTTGTAGCACGGACATAAACCGCCTAAAATGGGTGTAGCACGGACTGCCACCACATATAGGTTTTACCGCCGAAACCTGAAAGTGGATATAGCATCGTAGTTCCCCTCTCAAAATGGATGCAGATGGCGCCCTTTCCCAGTGCGGAAAGTCGGTGTCGTCGAAAACACCGTGTTGGCCGCTCTCACGTTCCTCTCTGTTTAAAGCTGTAAAATGCATTTTACAGCTTTATGGTCATTATTTTTGCTTAAAATATAAAACTTTGCCCATTTTCAATAATCGAGAAAAAAGAATTTTTAATTTTTACATACTATAAAAATAAATCACCTGTTACTAAGCTATTAGGTTTGTTTGATATGTCTCATTTATCGTTGAGTCGTACTACGCTCAATTCCGCACTCAAGATAGTGGCGGCTCGTAGCGGATGATGCGCAACTAGAAAAAGTAAAGCGGGTCAAAAATAGAGTCGTCAGGTCTGTTCCAAAGTCGGCTCGAAAACTTGGGTTTAGTTTTAAAGTTGGTAGGCCACAAACTAACTTAGATACGTTCCATAATTCATCACATGTTGAAAATCATGTGATGTATTGAAGATTGGCTAGCACGTTGTTATTACCAACAGAAGCTAATTATTTAAATAATGTGAGTAATTTTATTTTCAAATATTTTTAAGATAAAAATAGGGAGAAATGTAGGAGAAAGGCAGTATATAATAGATACCGCCATCTATGTTCATTATTTTTCTCTAGCATATTACCCGTTAATTTGGTTCTTAGGGCCACTTTTGCCAGAAACCGCCGTGAAAAGAAACAGAAATTGAGGAATAAAACAACAAATTTAGTTGAAATCCTGTAACATTACTAAAACGGTTAACTGCGGCTTGGTAAAAGTGGTCCTTACTCCGTCTAACAGTTTCTTTTAAGTTACGAATCATGTATAAATTTTGAGAACGTGTGTGTGTGTGTGTGTTCAAGAGTGTATTAAAATTTAAATTAAAATAACTTTTCATATAAAATAAATTCTATAAACTATTTGTACCTATGACCTATTGACAAATTTAAACAGCCGCATAGCTAATAAAAAGATATAAATAATCATCTAAATATTAATGCAGAGAGAAAAGTAGATGTGTTTGAATAACTTCTATATGCCTAATAAAAAAAAATATATATATATATTTACAAAAAAAGTATATATATGTATATGTATTGCTCTTTGCTCACAGTTATTCATCCGCAATATGCAACAGCGTGACGCGTTACGCATATAAATATGAAAATTTACAAGTTTGCAAACATGGAGCATTGAAAACAAAATAAATTGAAAATTGGAAAATTTACAAATTTGCATACATAGAATATTGAAAACAAAAAAATTGGAAATGTGCGAATTTGAAAATTTACAAATTTGCAAACATATAAATTCGATACATATGTATCATAAATAAGACTTTTCTTCGCATATAAATTTCATAACTTTGATTACGTACGTATGTGTGTAACACAAAATGTTTTCTCTTAAGCGAGCGACACTTTGGCGGTCGATAAAATAATATTACAAACCACAAGACGTCCTTCGGGTCCTCTGTGAAGAACCCAAGAAGGAAAACGTGTCCGCTTTACGGACAGAGAAGCAGACAAAAGAAATTTAAATATGAAGCAGAAGTTACGCAGTATTCGTCGCGAGTGTCTCTGCGAGACAAAAGGAAAGTTCTTAATAACACTTTGCGATTTGTGAATAACGCGTACGGTCTTGACACAGAACCGGGGGAAAGTGTAGAAATCTTCGAGGTGGAGGGCGAACGGGGGAGGAACTACACGCTCCACGCATTTCCTGGGCGAGACAAGACTTGGCTCTTAAGCGGACGCGACGGTGCGCGGTATAAATGGCGCGCCGAGTGCGTGCCGTCGTTTTAGTACTTTTTGCAAAGTGGAAGGAGGATGACCGTCGCCCGGAAAATCGGCATTGTTTGCCTGGTAACGAGAGTTCCGAACTGTCGCGCGTTAAGCTGACGCATCATTTCACGCACCCTAACGTGCGTGCTCGCGCTGTGGGCGACTCAATTTATTGTACGGATCTCCCAACGCACGATAACGATCTACGCGCTGGTCTCGAGCTTCTTGCAGCTTATTGATCAGCATGCACGTGTCAGAACGCCTGAAATCATGCGTCAGGTGATATCGCCTTTACGCACGCGAACGAACGTCGCGTCGAAACGTCGCGTCGAAACGTCGCGGTATAACGCGCTGCAAATGTAATAAGCTCCTAAACGCGATAACGCTAAAGCTAACGCCTTATCGGCGATAAAGTCCGTCAACGAGCGTGGTGAAATGAAAAACGAATAAGGCGAGGATCGAAACCGGCGTGATCTCCGGCGCTGCGATTGTCCCCAAAATCGACGCTTCATCGATACCCCTTCTTCCGCCCGATGGTGAGTGAACGTGATGGCCGCCGCGCGCACGTAACTGTGATATCTCTTCGGGAGTTCAAGCCAACGAAATCATATGGGTATCAATCCTTGTTTTCTATATACGTCAATTAACCCTTCGCGGTGTCACGTGTCGAGCCGGACTCTCGACTCGACATCATATTTCGTTCCAGCCCGTCCCTGCGTTACCTTGCGGTTTGCTCTTTTTTCTTTTTTTTTTTCGACCACTCCTGACGCGCGCTGCTGCTTCGGCGGAAAAATCGTTGCGGCCGTGTGCACACGGTGATTGATAATTCTCTCGTGAATATTCTACAGATAGAAGTGCGATAAGAGTGACCTCCGCTTGTATTACGCGGCACGTTCGAGCGTCAAATGCTGAGTGTCCGAAAAGACTTCTCTCGTGCGATAGAGGTAGACTAGCAAGTAGCGGGGCAGCCCGGTAAGAAACCCGCAAGAAACACACAAGGACCGCTCGGAATATTCCGAGCGGAAAGCGACAGGTGGAAGGGGGGAGCAACATGTCACACAATAAATCTTTAGAAAAACTCGCACACATGTAGCGCGCGTTATCCCCCGATGTGTATTTTTCGAGGGCTCACTTTCTGGGTAACGTGCATTTTGAATCAGGCGACACGTGATTCTCCCCCCCCCTTCCTTCTCTTTCTCTCTCTTTTCCGGTCACTGACAGATGCATCATTTTAAAAGAGCGGCGCCGGACGCCTCCTCATTACCTCATTACCCGCTCAGCAGCCGGGCTGATTGCAACGCAGTTAATTGCAACGTGATCATTCACAACGCGTGCGCACTTTCACGTGATTCCACGCTATAGGGTGTGCCTGGCGGTAACATAAGCTCTCTCGTGTACGTGCGGATTAGGTGAAGCTGAGCTGAGCTGAGCTGAGAAAGTGCTTTGCCACCAGCTTGCGAAAAACCACGGTGGAATTCTGAATTTGTCGATTGAAAAACACTCGCGATCGTTTCCGATCGCGTAACGAATTGTGTGCGCCCAATGTCCTTCGATTAATAACTCAGAACTTCACGTGCCTCCTTGCGAAGTGAGACGGAGGACGTTTCTGCCCACTTTGACCCGATGATCAATCTTGATTAACCTCAGCGTTTGATGGATTAATCAAAATTTCGCGTGCTTGTCCGTGACGTAGCGAAGTAACTTTTTCTTCAGTTCTCGACGCTAATCTACGCGTACACGAGAGCTTGATACGTCATCGTCAAACAGCCTGTATTTAATTAAACGCGGATAAAATCCAGCCCGCCTTGTTAAAATAACGAGAAGCTCCGCTGCGTAATACCCGAAATATTAAGCGAAACACGCGAGTGTAATCCACGGATCATCGACGGAGACAGTCGAACGCGACCGAATCTGTCGGAACGAAGGAGAGGCGAGGGCGAGGGGGGAGGGCCCGCAAAGGGTTAAAGCGCGAAGTAAAGTAGGTGAGCGGAGGAGGAGAGCGCGGTGCCGTTGAAGCGCTGCCAAGGAAAACTCCGGGGTTGCGATCGATCGTCGTCATATTCGTCACTCGGCGCGCGCGCGCGCGCGCGCGCTAACGACTCGGCTCTTTCTATTTCGGCTCCGAAAGGCCCGACGTTGATCTAATAGCCGCGACGAGAGCGAGCGACGGCGCACCGTGAACTTGGCTACCGAGCCGGGCGCGCTTCGTTTGACGGCCGGCCTCGTGCTCGTGGGTGCATCGACCTGCCGCGGCTCCCAAAACGAATCTGGCATTGTGCCCCGGCAGCGCCGTGAGCGCCGATCCGTATAACAGCGCGGCCGGGAATGCGCTTCCGAAAGACGGGCGAACACGCGCGCGCTAACAGACTCGTACCTCCCCCCGCGCGACTGCAGGTGACACGCGCCTACCTGACGAGCGCCATACTGACGAGCGCCAAGGTGTCCGCGGATGCGTCGGGACGATCGACGACGCCTGCACCGCGGCCGTGGCATGCTTATCTGCCGGTCCACGTCGATCACGCGCTCGCCAATGACCTGGAGAGGCCCGGCTTCGCCGAGGAGGCTTCCCGCCCGAGGGGACTCCAGTCCGCGGCGACGGGCTCCAGCAGCCGGCAGCAGAAGTCGCGGACTGACGCCCGTCAGAGGTAGGACGGATCTACGCTCCCCCCTCGGTTCAGACATATTTTTGTTTCAATAAGATTAGCAGGGCTGGGGAAGTGAAGTGTCTGGTTACAGTTACAGTTTTTCTCACTGGAAAGGTGACTACGCTAGGAGAAATGTATCGTTGCGTGAATCAAAATTTTGTTGTGACAACGAAATAATCTGGTTAAAATATGCCCAACAACAACAAAAGTGTTTAGTTCCTGTAAAGAAATATCTTGTTTGATTACGGCTTGTTCGTATAACGTTCGTAATACGCTTTTGTTAAAGCAACCAAAAGCAAAAAGAAGCTTTGACTATATGAATTTTGTTGAAAATACTATAATTTTTTCTCAATATATAAAATCTAAATTTTAGTGCACAGAAAGACAAAATAGTACCCGTTGGGCATTATTTTAGTTTATGTAAAATAATATTTCGTTATTGTGTAATTTTTATGAATAAAATAACTAAAATGCTTAATTTTTATACATGAAGTCTAAGAACGAAATCATTTGGCCCAGAGAACAGAGCAGAAAAATATATTTAGACAACTAAATATTTTGTTATATAAAACAAGATATTTGGTTGCTGTTAAAAAATGCCTCAACTAAACAGTTTGGTTGGAGATACTAAATTTTTTTTCCTAGTGTAATTCCTCCAACTTTATATAAAAGCAGTTTATCGATTATTACATTCCTCATATTGTATATATAATAATTTTTACAAATTAGATTCATTAATTTAAATAAGCAATTTATATTTATTCTTTAAGACTGTGTGAGTAACAAGCGGGCAGAGAAATGCCCAGTTGTGCTCGTTTCCAAGTTTTTGCTGTAACTCGAATACTCCTGCATATGCTGATCATGACATTTTACAATCCTTCTCCAAAGATTGAGATGCTTTATCTGTTATTTGAACCTTTTACATAACTGAAACTATTGGATATCAACGCATCACACACGTCGCGTTATCGCACTGGTCCGCCAGAAACTCAAGTTTGAAATATATAAAGTAACTATTAAAGTAATTATTAAATTAGTTACTAGTTATCAAACAAATGTAACTAAGTTAAGTTACAGTTATAGATGAAAAAAAGGAACGAAGTTAAGTTATAATTACCAAAAAAAAATAACTGTAACCGTAACTTCGTACTACAAGCGACGGGTTACTTCCCAACCCCGAAGATTAGAAACAGTCCGACTCGTTGCGATCGCGAGATACGGTTTGCGCGCGGCAGGTGCGCTAATTTCAGCGGGAAAAATTCGTCAGTCGCGGAACGTCGCGGAAGAGGAGGCCGCGTCGACGATCGAGGGAACTTTTTTAATTTCCAACGCGCGTGAATTCCGCGAGTGGTATAAATCTCAAACGAAACATTCCCGTCAGGGACGAAGTCGCGTCGAAGTGTAACTGACTGAAATATATCTCTCGGTGGGGGTTCCTGGGACTTCCGTAAGACGATGGATTCTAAAGTAGATACCGGCTGATTTGATACACATCGCAAAACGTGAAATCTCGCGATATATTCTTCCTCCTCTCTCTCTCTCTCTCGTTCTCTCAAGGATCGCAGATATTATACTATATCTCCTTTTCTCGGCACTCGACGAGGTTCCCCACGGAAATTCAGCGCGATCAAGTTTGGCTTTCGGCGGAAGTGCCGTCGAGCGCATCGCCGTCGCCATCGCCGCCAACGACGCTCAGAGCCACGACGACGACGACGACGACGGCTTCGACGACGTTATCGAGACCGCGAGGTATCCGAGAGTATCAGCGCGACGTACCTCGACGATACCCGTATCAGGATATCGAAGAGCTCGACGGGTACCTGACGGATGGCCTGGATGACGGCAAACTGCCGTATCGTTGGAAAGCTGAGTCGACGTATCGGCATCGCGGGCCGCAAGACATAACGACGGCCATCAGGGCCCTCGATCGCTTCCTGAGCGAGGCTCTGAACGTCGACAGCTACAACAGCCAGCTACATCCACCGCCCAATCCCGTTTTAGCCCTCATCCTGTCCCGCTACGGGCGCTACGTGCCGGGCACGCGAAACCCTCGCGTGTACGCGCACACGGCGGCGAACAATATGCACAACAACCAACCGTTCGGCATTTACAAGTACGAGCAGGACGAGCAGCCGATTTACACGCTGCGATAGCGCGGTCGTGATGATTCATCCGTCGCGCCGCACCGCGCCGCGCCGCGCCGCGCCGGCGAGAGTGTCGGCCGCGCGATGCACGGACGCGAGATAAAAACGCACCGGGAGAAAGACATGGTTTTCATGTTACGCGTAAAAATTAGATTCTTGCCTCTGATCGTACGACTCTTGTTATTCCAGCAAAAAGTTTACGCATCTATGGTTATTATCGTCATTGTCGGCAACAGTGGTTCTCGCGGTTCTGTAATTCTTTCGTTTACCCGAAAATAGTATTCTATTTGTAAAGTGATTTTTCTCATAGTCTCATATTCTAAGCCAGAGCTCGGCAAAGTTTACAACTTTCGGCCGATTTTCGGAAGCTACGCCTTCTATCTCCCCTTACCGCGCGGCGGATCCAGCAACTGACGGTCGCGGCTCGCGACTTCAGGACCGTTGAGATCATAAGGCGCATCTATGTGGTGTCTACTAAAGATGCGTTCGGGGAGCGCGTCGATCAGCGCTAACGCGATATTCAACCCTTGTACATGTAATGAGCGATAAAGATAGAATAACGTGTTAACGTTGACAATGCGCTCCTTTAACACACCTCAAAGACACACCTGAAAAATAAATGTATCGATACAACTATATGTATAATATTTCGTACAAATATGTACAAATATATATACTTGTATAAGTATATATATTTTTTTTTCTTATATTTTTATAATTAGAAGGTAACATAATATGGGTTTCCTCGTCACCCATGAGGTACTATTGCCGACGCGTTTTTTTTGTTTAAATCACATAGATGCGCCTTATGATTTCAACGGTCCTGAGATCGCGAGCCGCGCGGTAAGGGGAGATAAAAGGCGTAGCTTCCGAAAATCGGCCGAAAGTTGTAAAGTTTGCCGAGCTCTGTTCTAAGCGAAGCCTGTCACAGGGAAAGGATTCCTCTTTCGATAGAGCGATTAAAGTGAGGCATTCATCGAAAATTTATTAGATATTATTCCAACTGCTTTCCTCTTATTTCAAGAGGATTTCCTTTTACATCAATTAATTTTCCTCTTATATCAAGAGAACTTACATCGTCGCCACATTTATTTTGTGGACAACGTCTAGAGCAAAGAAAAAAGAAAGAGAGATCGTTATTTAGTTTGCGTTGTTTTTCCTGGTTGTTTCGTTATTCGTCGAAATTCAAGAATTTTTGGAAAAAGTCAATACTTAATCGCGTTGCACACTACACCACTTAAATGTCATTTAGAGTACTCAAAATTACAAATTTATGTTTTTTCCTATTTTTTCAGCAGAAAGTCAAAAAATATTTAACTAGAATTTTTTCCGGACAGTTTCATATCAATAATTTTCTCTCCTTCTCCTATAAAGGAACGTGTACAATCAATAAGAATAAAATACAGTAAGAATAAATAATAATCCTCTTAAGAAAAGATTAAATATAATATCTGTGAATACAAAGGAAATTTATATTCAAATCAATAAGATTTGCATCATATATATAACATATATAATTCTTCTAACTGAGAATAATGTGTGTTTATATTTTCCTCTTAGAGAAATCCTCTTGAGGCCATATATAAGAATAAAATCCTCTAAAATCTAAATGATTCGGTTTGTTCCGAAATTACGTTTTTCGGGTGCTACGCGATTATACAGTTGCGGATGGAGAAGACTTTTCTGTCAGTATGAGTGACACCGGAAATTCATCAACGGCTGCTGCGTTTTCAAACATGCAAACTGCAGGAATCAAATTCCTGATTTCTCAAGCTATTCATCAACTGCGCAAACTGCGCAGTTTTTATTCCTCGAATCGTCGTTATCCAATTTCTGCGTTTTGCGAACGTAGAAATTATGCTTGTATGTTCGTGCTGCGTTCGAGGACGCAAAGTCCTCCGTCGTCTCTCGATGTCAATGTCTCCGGGATACCCGAAAAGTTCGCGCTCGCATCGAAAAACATATAACACTGATAAAGGAACGTCAAAGTGTCTCTCGACTGTAGCGAAACTGCTCGAGTTGCCGCGAAGGAACGCGAAACTCGGCCGTCAGCTGTAAGCGATCCTCCGCTAAGCAGAGACTTGGGCGGGTCGGACCCTTTTGAAATAGTCGTAATAATAACAATAAACATAATAACGTGTGACGCAAATCTTACCCGCCCCGGGATCGATCCGCCGCTAAAGCCCCTATCAGACGGCGCGCGCTGGAGATTGAGGGATCGCGAGTTGGAAATTGAAACTGAACCAATCGGGTAATTTCAATCTCGGTCCGCTTTGTCGTCGGGATTGATCGGCTGCCGCAATCTCTCCAATTCGCAGTCCTCCATCTCGGGCGCCTCCATGTTGCGCCGACTTTACGACGAGCGACAGCATCTCCTCCGCGTGCGCGTCGCGTAGCGAGATATTTACCGGGGACGTGTCCGGCGACCACGAAGTCGCCTTCGAGAGCTCTTCGTAAAGCATTCGAACAAGGCGCGTTTGTTTCTGCCTGCTTCGCGGCAATTACCGCTCCTCGAAACCACCTCGGCTCACGTAGCGCTGATTCGCGGCTTCCGCTCGGTAAAAAGCGACGACCAACTCCGGCACCGGGCGCGACCGATTAACACTCAGCCGGCTAGCCGTGCGTGCAGGCCGAGAGATGTATCGAGGAGGAGGAAGAAAAAAGTAGAGAGAGAGAGAGAGAGGAGAGAGAGAGAGAGAGAGAGAGAAAAATCCACGCGCGACGCATATCGATGCGACGACGCGAGCGAGCGTTCCTTCCAGCGTGGGACGTCCGTTCCTCGCGCGCGCGCGCCGCTCCGACTCAAAAATACCCCCCGTACCTATCCTCGCCCACGGTGTAATTTGTCCCATAGCCGCTCACAAAGACATAACGACGTCCATCAAGGCCCTCGGCCGCTTCCTGCGCGGGACCCTGAACGACCGTGTAGTCGGGCCGTAGCGCAAACTGCGGCCAATCTCGCGTTTAAACGCTCCGACGCGAACGTCGGCCGTGCGTATATTCCGTCCGACGACTCGCGGTTCGGTCGAGAAAGAGAAAGGGGGGGGGGGGGCGAGGAGAAAATTGCCGGAAAATTCGAGCCGTCGAGGCTGGAATTTGATCTCTCGCGCCTCGCGTCGATGCACGCTCCGCGATTAGGAGGAACATTTACGACGCGACGCGCGCACGCTGAGAGGGAGAAAAGCACAATTAACGCCAATTATTTTTCATCTTCCTCTGTTGTTCCGGCGAGAGAAAAAAAATGGCAGCTGCGGTGCGCGTACACGGTCGTCGCCGCCGCCGCCGACGCTGAAGCAGTGCTCAGTGCCGTGAAGACGCTTCTCTTAACTCTGGGATTCTTTCTCACTACGCGACTACAGTTACCAAACACTTTTCCCTCCTTGCAATGTTTGCGCATAATGTAGCCAAGTGCACAACGCGCGGCGCTCTCTCGAGCGTTACGAACGCGACGACCGAGTTTCGCGAACGGCGAAGCGCGCGCGCGCGCGCGCCGTTCCCGAAATATTCGACATCCACTTTCGCGCAGTTCCTCCGAGTCGGCCCGCTCGACTCGAGCATTAATCCGCTCACAGTCTCTTGTTTATCGAAATAACTCGATTGCGCCGCGTAGTTCTCCGCGATGAATTTCATTCGACTCGGCGCACAAGGACGCGCGACGGGCCCCCGGCCCGGGCGGCGGATTTCCGTCGTCGGCGTCGTCGATCGACGGGCGACGACGGGCGAAGAACCGCAAACGACCTCCTCCTCCTCGCCGTGCTCGCTATCACGCCGGAGTTATAATTGTCTTCTCCTTCGTGCGTCCGCCGCGCAGCGCGGCGCGCTGCAATTAACAGAATGAATCTTTCGAGCGCGCTATTAATGGGACCCTCAGCTCGCCGTCGAGATGTCTGCTAGACGGTTAATCGATAGCGCGCCGAATTTATCCTTGAACCTATTCACAATCGGATTTTACGGCGGGTTAATTGGAGTAGTTGGAGAATCCGCTCGAGAAACTCCGATTAAGCAGTAAACTACTCTCATTACACCTTCCTGCCTGCCTCCCCTCTCCCCCCCTCTCTCTCTCTCTCTCTCTCTCTTTCTCTCTCTCTCTCTCGCCGTGCTCGCTTATCTTCCCGCCCTCCCTCTCTTTCTCGGTAGATGCTGCTTGCTCGACTTCATTTATTCGGACTGCGCTATTGTGATCGCGTTCTCGCGAGGTAGACGTGCAATTATTTAAAACAATTATCATCGACTGGACGATGCAGACTCGTTGGTTGCGCACGTTGCACCGCAACGGGGCGACAACTACGTGAGCGATTTTTATCGAAACGCCAATCGGCCGGAGGGGAAAGGAGGGAGGGGAGGCGGGAGTTACACGGGCACGTGCAAGGTGAACAGAGAAAAGAGCCCGAGGCGAATTTCGCGCCCGTCCAAGCGGGAAATATCGTCGGGCAGCGGGTCGATTAATTATGAAACAATTATCATCGATTGCTCTCCTCCTAATTCGCCGGGCGTGGTACAGCGTGCCGCGACACAAGTGCGCGAGCGATCTTCGTCGAGACGCCATCGCCGAGCGGGGAATTTCCAGGTGCGCGGAAAATAGACAGACGAGAGCCGGCCGACAAGATCCCCGCTGCGAGTCCTCGCATTCGTCCTCGGCGCGATACGATATCGCGTCGCGACTCGCGATATCGCGATTAATATATTCTAATATATTCTAAAGCTGGTGTGCGTGTCGACGTTTAAATATACATTACGTTGCGCGTGCGTGCTCGACCGTCGCGGGATTATTTTGCGAATAAATTTTGAATTAGATCAGGAATGTATAATATACACACACACACACACACACATGTGCGAGAACGTGTGTATGTTATCCGCGGGTATACGCGGGTTTCCATTTGCATCAACGATTCAACCAATAAATATAAATACATACACGCGCCCGTTGAGTCGCTATGTACGTACGTTTACATTTGCATTGCTGATACCAGGCGGTAAATTCGGATGTCAGCGAACGCGGAAATCGCGCGCGCGCGCGCACGCGCACGCGTGACCGGTTGCGCGGCGTTGCGCTCTCGAGGAGCTGGAGGAGCAGGCGGGCGAGACACCGCGAGCGCCGAAATTACCAGTCGTTTCAAGAAGCACCCGAGCTCGCTCGGCGACGAGGTGAGGGAGGGAGGGAGGGAGGGAGGGAGATGAAGGAAAGAAAGAAAGGCGAAAGAAAATATCGCGAACTCGGCGGCGTTTTCGCAGGTCGTTCAATTCCGCTGACAGAAGCGCGTCCGTCGCGAGATCATAAAACGGACGACGAGCGGAAGGGGGGCGGGGACGGCTCTTAAGTGACGCTTGATTGCCTTTCGTCCGCTAGGAAAGCAGATTGCCGGGGAATCGTTGTTTCCGTAACGGCGCTCAGCTGCGCCAGATTCCCTGCGGAGATCGACGGACGCTCCGCGAAATCGCGGAGCCGCCCGCGCGCGCGCGCGCGCGCACTTTAATAACTCGGCCTAATACCGAGCCACCCGGTATGTATACTCGAGATTAGTCGGTAATACATAGCGAGTCGAGCGATACCCTTTCGATTCTCTTCGGGAGAGTGGCTCGCATCCGTATTGGATTATCCGTCCGTTATCGATTCGATGGCGGAACGCGAAGAAGACCGGGCGAGGGAGGAGGGGGAGGGGGATGGGGAAGAGAAGGAGGAGGAGGAGAGGAGAGGTCGTCGAACTCGAGGAAGAGAGTGCCATCGTGAGAGGCAGTCGCGGCAAATTCCGTGACGAATTCGCCCGGCGCTTCCGCGACGGCAAGGTCAGAAATACACGGCGCGGTTTTGCGTCAAGTAGCCCCGCCGAGTACGCGCGCGCGCGCACGCGCGAACTTGTCTCTGCATTATTTAAATCATACGACAATGATGAATATTTTATGCCGAAAGTCGCGACGCGAGGCGAGACATTGGCACGGAGGGAGGCGAGAGACGGGACACGAACGGCATGTATCCGCACGGAATGCAAACGCGCGAGGGGACGAAACGGGCCTCGTCACGCTCGCGTTCGCCGCGCTCGCGCGAATATCGCGCGTCTCCTTTCTTTAATAGTCGGAACGATATCCGCCAGCAGAACAGATAAAGCGGCTCATTCATCATTCCGGGCAGGACGTGCAAATTTCCTCGCGTTTCTTTTCCTTCCCTATAATTCCCGCGCTCCCCTTTAGGCACTCTCCGCGTTACGAGCGGCGACGGCGGCGGCAGAACTGCTAAGAAAGAGAGAGAGAGAGAGAGAGAGAGAGAGAGAGAGAGAGAGAGACCTCTCCCCGCAACTTCGGGGTTTGAAATCAAACGGTGATGAAA